CTACAGCCTCAGTCCTGGATCTACAGCCTCAGTCCTATGGGTCTACAGCCTCAGTCCTGGGTCTACAGCTCAGTCCTGGGTCTACAGCCTCAGTCCTGGATCTACAGCCTCAGTCCTGGGTCTACAGCCTCAGTCCTGGGTCTACAGCCTCAGTCCTGGGTCTACAGCCTCAGTCCTGGGTCTACGGCCTCAGTCCTGGGTCTACAGCCTCAGTCCTGGGTCTACAGCCTCAGTCCTGGGTCTACAGCCTCAGTCCTGGGTCTACAGCCTCAGTCCTGGGTCTACAGCCTCAGTCCTGGGTCTACAGCCTCAGAACAGACTCCGCAGCGTCTCTCTCAAAACAACACACTTCTATTTCCAAATTACAAATTACCCGAGCAGGAAGTGGGCTGTGTTATTTTCCTCATCACCTGCAATGAAAAATCATTATACGGAGTTGTTTCGCCTCCACCTCATTTATCATGAGTCAGGAGTCAATTTGAGAGAGCGCTCAAAGCAGAAGCTCGTGATGTACAGGAAATAACAGCTGGGAGCGTTCGGCTGACGGGATGCTAACGTCAGACTGCATCTATAACCAGCGGAAGGATTAGAAAAGAGAGAGAGAGAGACCATAGACTGAGAGAGAGACAATAGAGGGACAGAGAGAGAGACCATAGAGGGACTGAAAGAGACTGAGAGAGAGACCATAGAGGGACAGAGAGAGAGACCATAGAGGGACAGAGAGTGAGACCATAGAGGGACTGAAAGAGACTGAGAGAGAGACCATAGAGGGACAGAGAGTGAGACCATAGAGGGACTGAAAGAGACTGAGAGAGAGACCAGAGAGACACTGAGAGAGAGATCAGAGAGAGACCAGAAAGAGACCAGATAGACCAGAGAGAGACCAGAGAGAGACCTGAGAGAGACCAGAGAGACCATAGAGAGACTTAGGAGAGAACAGAGGGACCGGAGAGAGACTAGAAACAAGAGAGAAACAAAAAAGTGAGAAACCTTGGGGAGGCCCACATTTAGTGAGGGATCTGATCCCACCAACGGACAACTAGCAGACCCAGGACTGAGGCTGTAGACCCAGGACTAAGGCAGTAGACCCAGGACTGAGGCTGTAGACCCAGGACTGAGGCTGTAGACCCAGGACTGAGGCTGTAGACCCAGGACTGAGGCTGTAGACCCAGGACTGAGGCTTTAGACCCAGGACTGAGGCTGTAGATCCAGGACAAACCAGATGTACCAGTACCATTCCTTCTCCTGCAGTCACTCAAACCACTCTGACATTCCGACCATAAAGCAGCAGGATCAAAGAAAAAAAACAGCAAATAAACTTTCCAGAACACGGTGCCGGGCCTGAATGAGAATCCATTTGTTGTGCTGTATCAATGTCCGTCTCCATCCGTCACTGCGCCACACAAAGCTTGTAGTTTCTCTCGCTCCAAAGCGTTCCCGGTCTGCTTTTCCCCACCTTTATTCCCTCTACAGTGGGGGACATTTATTCTGATTATGTGGAGCCCTGGAGATCGAAGATTGTAGTAATCAGAAAACAGGCCGGGCATCTATCACCGCGGCAACCAATCAGACGGGCCGGCCGGCGAGCTGAGAGTGGGAAAAATTACACCCAGAAATGATTCTTACAGGAGGCGTGCGAGACGGCGGCGTGTTGTGGTCGGAGAGAGTACACACATGGTGTTTGGGATGTTGTTTCCTTCTTTGATGGTGTGGACATGTTTTGAGCAGACGTCGACGGACCAGGAGACAAGATTTGGTGGATATAGAAACAGTGGAAAGGATTGGTTCTGAAAAGGGTTTTTCTATCTCTGTGGTCTCTCTCTCTCTCTGGTCTCTCTCTATTGTTTCGTCCTCTGGTTTCTTTCTCTGGTCTCTCTCTGGACCTTTTAGTTTCTCGCTGGTTCCTCTCTCTATTTCAGGGGTGGCCAACCAGTCAGAGACTAAGAGCCAATTTTTTTACTGTGTTACAGCAAAGAGCCGCATCATACAAATATGCACTACATAAACATCACCCCATCCCTTACACACGTGCGCGCACACACACACCTCTGATCAGACAGATGTATTGTAAATGTCATCAACATGATAATGGCAGAAATTGACTCGTACAGTACTAAATGGCTGGACTCGACTCTCCCTGGTTTACGGGCGCTTCAGCCGCTCGCTTCAGCCGCTCCCCGTTACTTTTTATTGATGCTTTGGCCCTGGTTCTAACCGGGCGAGTCGATACCAGAACAATCTCACGTCAGCGAACATCAATTATGATTCCGAAATGAAAAAAGCAGGCAGAAACACTACTGTCTTTATCGAACCATGATTCACTCTGACTGCGTTTAATAAAAGATATAGATTTGACACATAACACCAACACCTCTTTAGCTGATTTAGAACCACAGACACATGCTCAGTATAAGACCAGATACTTTCGCATTTGATTGAAGACAGACACTCACCAGGCAGAGTTGGCTTATCTCCTGGTGCTAGCTGGTTTTAGCATGTTAGCCGGTGTTAGCCGATGTCCGTAAATTTAATCCATTTGGTCAAACCACCTCCAGACTTTTCGGTTCTGCCTCTACTTCTGCTGCTGCGATCTTTCATTTCACGGTTGTCACTTTTAAGCTTTTTAACTTTTCTCTGCATTGTCATGTTTGTGGGAATCATTCTGCTCCGTCCTTAGTGCTAGCTCCACAAACACCTTCTGGTTTCTGGTGGAACCATCGAGCTCACGCTGGTGTCCTCTCCTCAAACTGAGGAAGGTGTTGCCCTCATCCAGCGACCAAGGAACTGTTTTCCGTACGGACGTCATGGGTCGAGGCAACGTGTTGTTTGTTATGATATTTGCAACAGCTGAGGCAGCAGCTGCAGAGTGATTGACAGCGCATCTGACCAATCAGAATTGACGTTCGCCGACGTCAGATTGTTTTGGTGGCCTGGCTAGTGGAGTGAAGTCGGCATTTACTATGGGTCAGAACTACATAGAGAATGAATGGCAGCGCCACCACCGAGGCGTTTTTGACGCTTGTCGTGTGGACGCCCAAGAGCCGCACGGAACCAGCCAAAGAGCCGCATGCGGCTCACGAGCCGCGGGTTGGCCACTCCTGCTCTATTGTATGTCTCTCTCTGGTCTCTCTCTGATCCCTGCTTATGGTCTCTCTCTGGTCCCTCTCTGGTCCCTCTCTCTGGTCTCTCTCTGGTCCCTCCCTCTGGTCTCCCTCTGGTCTCTCTCTGGTCTTTCTCTTGTCTCTCTCTCTGGTCTCTAAACTCTGGTATATCTGTCTGGACTTTTTAGTTTCTCTCTGATCCCTCTCTCGCTGGTCCCTCTGGTCTCTTTCTTGTCTCTGGTCTCTGTCTGGTCCCTCAGTCTCTCTATGGTCTCTCTCTTTGGTCTCTGCGGTCTTTAGTCTGTGCGGTCTTTAGTCTCTCTCTCTCTCGTCTCTTTGATACATCTCCAGAGAGAGACCAGAAAGAGAGACTGGAACGAGAGACCTGAGGCAAACCAGAGAGAGACCAGAGAGAGAGACCCTCCTTTACCAGAGAGGAACCTGTCAGAAACCCTGGTGTTTTACAGTCCCTCCGTCCTGCACCAAAGTCTCCGTACCTTTCATAATTGCAGTACTCTCGCTCTTCCACATCCTCTTTATGCAGATCTGGCGCCCGCAGACTCGTGCTGGTCTCCTCCGGGTGCAGAGCTGTTTATCGCCGCGGTGATGAAGGGGCGGCTGTATTCAAACAGACAGAAACTATAACATAATCACAAACTCTATCAGTCCCGGGTCCAGCAGACACCAGGAGGGACCGCGACGAGGGCCCTCAGTGACTCCTCCTGATCCAGTTAAGCCTCTGCTCGGATTGGAATGACATTAAAGAATGAAACCATTTAAGGACGCTTCATAAAGGACACATACTCAAAATGGTCAAACTATTAACTGGGTTACCGTGGAAACCTTTGCAAGAAAACCCAGGGATTTTTCCCCCGTAAAATATTGACAATTTGAAGTTTTGTTTTGGTCTCTCTCTCTGGTCTCTCTCTGTTCTCTCTCTCTGGTCTCATTCCTGTCTCTCTCTCTCTGGTCCCTCTCTCTCTCTCTCTGATCTCATTCCTGTCTCTCTCTGGTCTCTGGTCTCTCTCTCTCTCTCTGGTCTCATTCCTGTCTCTCTCTCTCTGGTCTCTCTCTGGTCTCATTCCTGTCTCTCTCTCTCTGGTCTCTCTCTCTCTCTCTGGTCTCATTCCTGTCTCTCTCTGGTCTCATTCCTGTCTCTCTCTCTCTGGTCTCTCTCTCTTTCTCTCTGGTCTCATTCCTGTCTCTCTCTCTCTGGTCTCTCTCTCTCTCTCTGGTCTCATTCCTGTCTCTCTCTCTCTGGTCTCTCTCTCTTTCTCTCTGGTCTCATTCCTGTCTCTCTCTCTGGTCTCTCTCTCTGGTCTCATTCCTGTCTATCTCTCTGGTCTCTCTCTCTCTCTCTGGTCTCATTCCTGTCTCTCTCTCTCTCTCTCTCTCTCTCTGGTCTCATTCCTGTCTCTCTCTCTGGTCTCATTCCTGTCTCTCTCTCTCTGGTCTCTCTCTCTCTCTCTCTCTGGTCTCATTCCTGTCTCTCTCTCTCTGGTCTCTCTCTCTCTCTCTCTCTCTGGTCTCATTCCTGTCTCTCTCTCTGGTCTCATTCCTGTCTCTCTCTCTCTGGTCTCTCTCTCTCTCTCTCTGGTCTCATTCCTGTCTCTCTCTCTCTGGTCTCTCTCTCTCTCTCTCTCTCTCTGGTCTCATTCCTGTCTCTCATTCCTGCCATGAGGTCCGACTTACTGCTGGAAATGCGAAGTAGACCTTACCGGGGAGGCTGAGGAGTGTGATCCCACAATAATTGGAACACACCTTCCGGTCCCCCTTCTTGTAGAGAGGGACCACCCCGGTCTGCCCCTCCATTGGCATCGGCCCCGAGCGCCACGTGATGTTGAAGAGACGTGTAAAACTAGACAGTCCCACAACATCCAGAGACTTTAGAGTCAGAACAGACCTCATCCACTCCCGGAGCCTTGTCACCTATGAGGCTGCCAACCACCTTGGTGACTTCAGGGAGATGGAAGTATCCGCCCCAACATCCTCAGCCTCTGCGGAGGACGTGACAGGGGGATTGAGGAGAACCTCGAAGTATTCCTTCCACCGCCCCGACAATATCCCCAGTCGAGGTCAGTAGCACCGGGTTCTGGGGTTGCCGCCGGGACCAGCACCAGAGACCTTGCGACCACAGTTACGAGCTTCCGCATCGGCGATAAGATAAGAAGATAAGAATTCCTTTATTCGTCCCACAGTGGGGAAATTTCGATGTTGCAGCGCACATATAGCACATAATATATACAAATAAGTAGTAGCTATGACCGGAAAAAGGTGCCTTGCCCTCTCCGGGTGGGTGGAGAGGCCCTTCCTCAGGAGGAGTTCAAGTATCTCGGGGTCTTGTTCACGAGTGAGGGAAGGATGGAGCGTGAGATTGACAGGCGGATCGGTGCAGCGTGCGCAGTGATGCGGTCACTGTATCGGACCGTTGTGGTAAAGAGGGAGCAGCGTCTGCAGTCAGAGCTGTATCGGACCGTTGTGGTGAAGAGGGAGCAGCGTCTGCAGTCAGAGCTGTATCGGACCGTTGTGGTAAAGAGGGAGCTGAGCCGAAAGGCAAAGCTCTCGATTTACCGGTCAATCTTCGTTCCCTCCCTCACCTATGGTCATGAGCTTTGGGTAATAACCGAAAGAACAAGATCGCGGATACAAGCGGTCGAAATGAGCTTCCTCCGCAGAGTGGCTGGGCGCTCCCTTAGAGATAGGGTGAGGAGCTCAGTCACACGGGAGGAGCTCGGAGTAGAACCGCTGCTTCTCCACGTCGAGAGGAACCAGTTGAGGTGGCTCGGGCATCTGTTCAGGATGCCTCCTGGACGCCTCCCTGGGGAGGTGTTCCGGGCACGCCCCACCGGGAGGAGGCCCCGGGGAAGACCCAGGACACGCTGGAGGGACTATGTCTCTCAGCTGGCCTGGGAACGCCTTGGGGTCCCCCCGGACGAGCTGGAGGAAGTGTGTGTGGATAGGGAAGTCTGGGCGTCTCTGCTTAGACTGCTGCCCCCGCGACCCGGCAACGGATGAAGCGGAAGAAAATGGATGGATGGAAGTAGTAGCTATGTTTCTTAACTAACATAACTAGCTGTAGATGCTGAAAATGCTTCAATACCAGTCAAAAAGAAATAATATATGTAGTAGTGCAGAGTTATAAAGTTAAATAGTGCAGGATAATAAGTAGATAAGGTAAAGTGACATTTAAGGCGGAGAACATGGTCCACTCAGGCCCCCCTCCACCTCAGGCCCCTCCCCACCTAAGGCCCCTCCTCCACCTCAGGCCCCTCTTCCACCCTCAGGCCCCTCCTCCACCTCAGGCCCCCCTCCACCTCAGGCCCCTCCCCACCTCAGGCCCCCCTCCACCTCAGGCCCCCCTCCACCTCAGGCCCCTCCCCACCTAAGGCCCCTCCTCCACCTCAGGCCCCTCTTCCACCTCAGGCCCCTCCTCCACCTAAGGCCCCTCCTCCACCTCAGGCCCCTCTTCCACCTCAGGCCCCTCCTCCACCTCAGGCCCCTCCCCCACCTCAGGCCCCCCCACACCTCAGGCCCCTCCTCCACCTCAGGCCCCTCCTCCACCTCAGGCCCCTCCTCCACCTCAGGCCCCTCTCCCACCTCAGGCCCCTCCTCCACCTCAGGCCCCTCCTCCACCTCAGGCTCCTCCTCCACCTCAGGCCCCTCCCCCACCTCAGGCCCCTCCCCCACCTCAGGCCCCTCCTCCACCTCAGGCCCCTCCTCCACCTCAGGCCCCTCCTCCACCTCAGGCCCCTCCTCCACCTCAGGCCCCTCCTCCACCTCAGGCCCCTCCCCCACCTCAGGCCCCTCCTCCACCTCAGGCCCCTCCTCCACCTCAGGCCCCTCCCCCACCTCAGGCCCCTCCCCCACCTCAGGCCCCTCCCCCACCTCAGGCCCCTCCTCCACCTCAGGCCCCTCCCCCACCTCAGGCCCCTCCTCCACCACCGTGTTTGGAGTGAATGAAAAAAAAAGCGTCTTTGAGCGTCCAGAAAAGCTAAACATAAAACCAATCAATGGTCTTTCTATATAAGTTTTATGCACATTTAGCACATTTTATACTTCTGCCTTTTCTCTCCAACTCCCTCCTTCTCCTCCCGTTCCCTTCCTCTCTCTCTCATGTTGTCTTTCTCCTGCCAATCTTTTAGTACCGTTCATAAAATCTTCCCAGATTGCTTCATGTGTTTTTACAGCCATAAGCGAGCGCTGTATTGGCATTTGTGTAAATTAGCCGACGGACCGCGGTATAAATCTGTATTGATGCCGGGGCCGCGCCTTCGAGATGACATCGACGGCCGCGGAATTGCTTTTGTAATATTGTTTCTGAGACAGACGACGACACGAGCCTCAGAAAGTTACAGCCCAGGTGCTGCTCGGGCTGTTTTTACTGTTGGGTTCTCCTTGAAAGAGCTGGAGAGAGAGAGGGAGAAAGAGAGAGAGAGAGAGAGAGAGAGAAGGTGAAAGACAGAGAGAGAGAGGGAGGGGGAGAAAGAGAGAGAGTGAGAGAGAGAGAGAGAGAAGGTGCAAGACAGAGAGAGAGAGGGAGGGGGTGAAAGAGAGAGAGTGAGAGAGAGAGAGAAAGAGAGGGTGAAAGACAAAGAGAGAGAAGGTGCAAGGCAGAGAGAGAGAGGGAGGGGGAGAAAGAGAGAGTGAGAGAGAGAGAGAAAGAGAGGGTGAAAGACAAAGAGAGAGAAGGTGAAAGACAGAGAGAGAGAGGGAGGGAGAGAAAGAGAGAGACAGGGGGAGAAAGAGAGAGAGGGTGAAAGACAGAGAGAGAGAGCGAAAGTGAAAGACAGAGAGAGAGAGAAAGAAGGTGAAAGACAGAGAGAGAGGGGGGGAGATAGAGGGAGAGAGAGAGGGAGGGAAGGGAGAGAAAGGGGCAGAGAGGGAGAGAGAGAGACAGAGAGAGAGAGACAGACGAGGATTCTGTGTGTTTGTGTTTCGCTACAGAAATATGATAAAACATAACAGCTTTTTATACGATCAAAACGAGAAACAGAAAACAGAGAAATAAGAACGGAAGAATTCAAAGAACAAATATTGGACAAGTTTAAATGAATCACACGGAAAGTCAGAGAAATGAAACTAGAATAACCTTTGTAAATAACTCAGTCCTGACTCTGGGACCAGCAGGAGGCCAGTCCCTGTGCTCCTCAGAGTCCCAGCAGGAGGCCAGTCCCTGTGCTCCTCAGAGTCCCAGCAGGAGGCCAGTCCCTGTGCTCCTCAGAGTCCCAGCAGGAGGCCAGTCCCTGTGCTCCTCAGAGTCCCAGCAGGAGGCCAGTCCCTGTGCTCCTCAGAGTCCCAGCAGGAGGCCAGTGGACATGACATGTACAGACTCTGAGGTCGCCTCTCCGGGTCTCTTCTTCTTCTTCTTCTCCTCCTGAAGGCCTTCCTGGGGAGGTGTTCCGGACATGTCCCACTGAGAGGAGACTCCCCAGGGTTCCCCCTGATGAGCCGGAGATGTGTGTGGAGATGGAGTAAATATAAATCAGCCATTTCACTTCATATGTGCGAGTTTTCACTTTCACTTTATCAACGTCAGATCTTCATAATAACTACACCGCACCATGTTAGACGTCTAAGAGAAAAGCAGAAAATGATCCACTTCCAAGAGAGAGACGTGTCTCTGATGGACCAGGGAGAGATACCAGAGAGAGACCAGAATCAAAGACCGGAGAGAGACCGGAGAGAGACCAGAGAGAGACCAGGGAGAGAGACCAGAGAGAGAGACCAGAATCAAAGACCGGAGAGAGACCGGAGAGAGACCAGAGAGAGACCAGGGAGAGAGACCAGAGAGAGACCAGAATCAAAGACCGGAGAGAGACCGGAGAGAGACCAGAGAGAGACCAGAGAGAGACCAGAGAGAGAGAGACCAGAGAGAGAGACCAGAGAGAGACCAGAAAGACCGGAGAGAGACCAGAGAGAGAGACCAGAGAGAGACCAGAAAGACCGGAGAGAGACCAGAGAGAGACCAGAGAGACCAGAGAGAGACCAGAAAGACCGGAGAGAGACCAGAGAGAGACCAGAGAGACCAGAGAGAGACCAGAGAGACCAGAGAGAGACCAGAAGGACCAGAGAGAGAAACAAGAGATAAACCAGAATCAGAGACCGGAGAGAGACCGGAGAGACCAGAGAGACCAGAGAGACCAGAGAAGACCAGAGAGACCAGAGAGAGACCAGAAAGACCGGAGAGAGACCAGAGAGAGACCAGAGAGAGACCAGAGAGAGACCAGAGAGACCAGAGAGAGACCAGAAGGACCAGAGAGAGACCAGAGAGAGACCGGAAAGACCAGAGAGAGACCAGAGAGAGACCAGAGAGACCAGAGAGACCAGAGAGAGACCAGAGAGAGACAGAGACCAGAGAGAGACCAGAGAGAGACCAGAGAGAGACCAGAGAGAGACCAGAGAGAGACCAGAGAGAGACCAGAGAGAGACCAGAGAGAGACCAGAGAGACCAGAGAGAGACCAGAGAGAGACCAGAGAGAGACCAGAGAGAGACCAGAAGACCAGAGAGAGACCAGAGAGAGACCAGAGAGACCAGAAAGACCGGAGAGAGACCGAAGAGAGACCAGAGAGAGACCAGAGAGACCAGAGAGAGACCAGAGAGACCAGAGAGAGACCAGAGAGGAGACCAGAGAGAGACCAGAGAGAGACCAGAAAGGACCAGAGAGAGACCAGAGAGAGACCAGAGAGACCAGAAAGACCGGAGAGAGACCGAAGAGAGACCAGAGAGAGACCAGAGAGACCAGAGAGAGACCAGAGAGACCAGAGAGAGACCAGAGAGAGACCAGAGAGAGACCAGAGAGACCAGAGAGAGACCGGAAAGACCAGAGAGAGACCAGAGAGAGACCAGAGAGAAACCAGAGAGAGACCAGAGAGAGACCAGAGATAGACCAGAGAGAGACCAGAGATAGACCAGAGAGAGACCAGAAAGACCAGAGAGAGACCAGACAGAGACCAGAGAGATACCAGAGATAGACCAGAGAGAGACCAGAAAGACCAGAGAGAGACCAGACAGAGACCAGAGAGATACCAGAGAGAGACCAGAGAGAGACCAGAGAGAGATGGAATCAGCTGTTTTCCAACAAACACAGACACAGGCCTCGTATTTATTTATAATTCTCTGGCTCGTTGTGATCACAGCCGGAGCCCGTCGCATACCTCCACAGAAACAGGTGCATCACACAATATTCACTTGTCATTCCACACTTTGATAAGAACGCCGCCATGAAGCTAATGAGGAGGCGGTAAAGCTAACGTCTGGATCGGCTTTCATGTGTGTGCGGCGTGTGGGCGTCCGCCTCTTATTAAAACAGTCACCACTTTATTTATTCATTATCGGCTTCATATTTTATTGATGCTGCGTGAGTTTCATTGATTTTCACGCCTCGCTTTTTTTCGGCATTTGAACAGAAGCGTTTGATCAAAGCCACGCAGCGGCGACGGCGAGAGGAACATGTTGGAGGGACGTGGAGAGAGATAAAACACGAAGCAGGAAGTAAACAACAAATATTATGTTTAATGACAATACGGCGCTGATTGTGTTGGCTCTGGATCCAGGGCTGAGGCTGTAGATCCAGGACTGAGGCTGTGAGGCTGTAGACCCAGGACTGAGGCTGTAGACCCAGGACTGAGGCTGTAGATCCAGGACTGAGGCTGTAGACCCAGGACTGAGGCTGTAGACCCAGGACTGAGGCTGTAGATCCAGGACTGAGGCTGTAGACCCAGGACTGAGGCTGTAGATCCAGGACTGAGGCTGTAGATCCAGGACTGAGGCTGTGGGTCCAGGGCTGAGGCTGTAGATCCAGGACTGAGGCTGTAGACCCAGGACTGAGGCTGTAGATCCAGGACTGAGGCTGTAGACCCAGGACTGAGGCTGTAGATCCAGGACTGAGGCTGTAGACCCAGGACTGAGGCTGTAGACCCAGGACTGAGGCTGTAGATCCAGGACTGAGGCTGTAGCCCCAGGACTGAGGCTGTAGACCCAGGGCTGAGGCTGTAGATCCAGGACTGAGGCTGTAGACCCAGGGCTGAGGCTGTAGACCCAGGACTGAGGCTGTAGATCCAGGACTGAGGCTGTAGATCCAGGACTGAGGCTGTAGACCCAGGACTGATGCTGTAGACCCAGGACTGAGGCTGTAGACCCAGGACTGAGGCTGTAGATCCAGGACTGAGGCTGTAGACCCAGGACTGAGACTACACTCTCTCTATTTGCTGATATCAATCCTCTGTGCAAACTTTAGTCTAACGCAAAATAACCAACTTAATTAAAATCCCTGAGGAGATAAAAGGAAATGTAGGAGAGAAAAACACATCGTGAACGCAGCATCAAAAGTGGGACAGTAAACTTCATATTTCCTGTCGTTCCGATCACCGCAGGAAAAGAAATCTCAAAAAAGAATTATTTAAGAGAGACTGGGACGGTGTCTTTATGGCCCTTTGTTCTCTGTGGACGTGTTCTTCTGTGTCATCGGGACCGAAAGGAGATTTATGAATGTGTTTGTTATAGAGAAGCAGAGAGAGGTGAGCTGCTCTGGTAAGAAACTAGCCTGGTCTTACCGCACCATCGTACTCATTTCATTTGGTCTGGTTTTGCTCTGTTAACAGGTGGGAGGGGCTAACTCCTTTTGCAGATTGAAATGATTGGACCTGAGTTTAGTGAAGTATGTAATGTTCCCGAGAGAGTGAGGCATTTAGCATTTAGCTTAGCTTTAGCATTTTAGTATTTAACCTAGCTTTAGCCAATCTGCAAGAAGCAATAAAGAAAAAAAAGTATTTGCCTTGGTCATTTTCCAGCTGAAATTACATTAAGTTATACTCTATTGTCTTAGCTGTGTTGGACTGTTGTGTGGTGAGGAGGGAGCAGCGTCTCCAGTCAGAGCTCTTGATTAGAGAGAGGGGGAGGTGTCTCTCTGTTCTCTCTCTGGTTTCTCTCTTTGGTCTCTCTCTTTGGACTCTCTCTGGTCTCTCTCTCTGGTCTATCTCTGGTCTCTCTGGTTTCTTTCTCTGGTCTCTCTCTCTCTCTCTCTCTCCGGTCTCTCTCTGGTCTCTCTCTGGTCTTTCTCTGGTCTCTCTCTCTCTGCTCTCTCTCTGGTCTCTCTCTGGTCTCTCTGGTTTCTTTCTCTGGTCTCTCTCTCTGGTCTCTCTCTCTGGTCTCTCTCTGGTCTTTCTCTGGTCTTTCTCTGGTCTCTCTCTCTCTCTGCTCTCTCTCTGGTCTCTCTCTGGTCTCTCTCTGGTCTCTCTCTCTCTCTGGTCTCTCTCTCTCTGGTCTCTCTCTCTCTGGTCTCTCTCTGGTCTCTCTGTCTAGTCTCTCTCTGGTCTCTCTCTCTCTGGTCTCTCTCTGGTCTCTCTGTCTAGTCTCTCTCTCTGGTCTCTCGCTCTAATCTCTCTCACTCTGGTCTCTCT